TGACTATAATCCAAAGAAAAACTGGATTGCAGCTTTTAAGGACTAATTCCTTTTTCCCAAGTAGTGTTTACCATGCCTTATCTCATTCAATCCTCACCAACAACTCCACATTCTAAGGACTATTAGGAAAATGAAGTGGAGGTGTACCTGGCAGGCTCAGTCAGTGGAGTATGGGACTCCTGGTCTCGGGGCTATGAGTTTGAGCCCCATGCTGGGTGGGAAGAGTTCTTAAAAATAAAATCTTCGAAAAGAAAGAAAAAAGAAAGAAAGAAAGAAAGAAAGAAAGAAAGAAAGAAAGAAAGATGAAGCAGATACTTACATGGGAAACTTACTTTTTATGTCATATACTCCTAAACCACTTGGATTTTTTTCCTATCAATCATGTCATTTAGAATAAATAATCCCACTTCCTACACAACTAAGTAACTTATCCTCTTGGCTTTCAAGCTGTTAGACAAATATGGCCCTGGTCTCCTTTTCAAAATTTTTTTTTTTTTTTTGCACAGAGAGAGAGATCACAAGTAGGCAGAGAGGCAGGCACAGAGAGAGGGGGAAGCAGGCTCCCCGCCAAATAGAGAGCCTGATGCGGGGCTCGATCCCAGGACCATGAGATCACAACCTGAGCCGAAGGCAGAGGCTTTAACCCACTGAGCCACCCAGGCGCCCCTCCTTTTCAATTTTAATCCGCTACTTCCCTAGGTATTCTGTTGTTTTATACTCTTAGCTAACGATCCCACAGAACTCTCTTAACTGATTTAAGTGGTAACACACGAACCAGCCTAGTCTCTAATATCATGGGATTAAAACTTCTTTCTCTCCCTCAGTGAAGTTGTGTCCTTATCAAGTGTCAGGTAGGTCTGTTCAGAAATCAACTTGTGCCAGTTGTGCTTATTAATGTAGGAATATAATTTAATAAAGTATTACAAAAAGCAATTAAGTGTGACAAGAGGAAAACAGCAGCAGCTAATACTTGCTACCTGCCAGATGCTGTTCTAAGTGCTTTACATGAACTGACTCCTATAATCTTCACAAGAACCCTAGAAATTAGATAATTATCATTGTCCCTATTTTCCAAAGGAGAAAACTGAGCAACATGCCCAAGATCTGTATAAATGGCAAAATAATTTGGCTCCAGAGCTTAAGAATTAAGCTACTATACTACGGTGACTGATAGTTGTTTGTATGAAAACCAAGTTGAAAGCTTTGGAAAGACTAGATAAAGATGAGTCACACAGATACATACAACTACTCAACCCTACCTTGTATGCCAAAGTAGCCATAGATAATACGTCAACAAATGAGCATGGCTATGTTCCAATAAAACTATTTACAGAAACAGGCAGAAGGCTAGGACAAGGTTTGGCCCTCATGCTGTAGTTCACAGATCCTTGGGGCCCACACCCCACGAAAAGGCTTATTTTAAAGACTGGCAAAAAGATGTTTATGCTTTAAGTTAAAATCAAATGGCCAAGGTCTGTGTGTAACTAATAACTGTATGATTCCCTATTTTAACTTATTTTTTTTAGTTGGCCAACTATTGGCCCTAATTGCATCAAATTAGAGGGCAACTCTGGTCTTGTAAGAAATTTGTGCCTTCTCTCCTGTCTCTGTGGTTTTTCGAAAGCCACCCCCTCAACCTGGAGAACCATGGTTCCTCATTTCCATTTGAAATTCCACTCATCTTCAAAGCCCATTATCTAACCCCACACACTCCTCCAAATTAGATATAATCTCTTCTTCCTTTGAAAACTTACAATAACTGATTTCTACTTATGGGACTTACTTTACTGTCTTCTAGTACAATTATTTGTATAGTTCAACTATCCCCACTGTTCAACGATAAGCACTTAGAGGACAACAATGACTTAATCATCTTCCTATTCCAGGCAACACCCTGAACAGTGCCTTACACATAGAAGGTTTTCAGATATTTCTTGAATGGTGTTTGACATTCTTCTGTTTTTAGTGACTGGACAGAAAAAAACACTATACCAATTCCCCCAAAACTATATTCAATTCATATTGCTAGCATCACACCTATCATGTAACCTGGTTGTAACTTCGAACTTTAATAATTTTTATAGTTTAATATTTACAGTGCATTCATTAGTACAGATCAGTATGGGTGTACCTGGCTATAAAAATTATCATCTCTATAGCAAAATTCTAATAATTAAAAAAAAAAAGGATTTTATTTACTTATTTGCCACACAGAGGGAGAGAAAGAGAGCGTGCATGTGCACAAGCAGGGGGAGTGGCAGGCAGAGGAGACAGAGAAGCCAGATGCAGAGCTCTATCCCAGGACCCTGTGATCATGACCTATGCCAAAGGCAGATGCTTAACCATCTGAGCCACCCAGCGTCCCCCAAATTACTGGTAATTTGAAAGAAATTGTTAAAATTGCCACTTCCTGGTTAATCTTTGGGGAGAGGGGTCAATATATTTTATAAATACACCTAAAAACTGTGTGTTTAAGCAAAACAAACAAACAAAAATGCTTAATTCAAACTTGAGGTCAGGGGTGTGCTTTCCTTACCTCTGTATCCCCAGCAGTACTTAATACATATCTGGGTCTGAACCACTCCTTCTGCAAGGTGTTTAGGGAGCCTGGCCCAAGCTCAGAGTGAGTTAGAAGGCCTGGGATGGGAATTCAGATTTTTAAATTCCTGGTCCAATATTCTAATTCAGGAAGACTGTGCCTTTTTATTAAATTTGTTCGAGAAAATTTTTTTCCATTAAAAAAAAAAGATTTTATTTATTTATTTATTTGAGAGAGAGAGAGAGAGAGAGAGAGAGAGAGAGGGAGAGAGCACACAAGTGGAGAGAGGAGCAGGGGGAGGGAATCTCAAGCAGACTGCCCTCTGAGCATGGATCCTGATATGGGATCGATTTTATGATCCTGAGATCATGACCTGAGCTGTAATCAAAAGTCAGACGCTTCACTCACTGAGCCACCAAGGTGCCCTGACAGTGGCTTTTTAGATGTACCTAATCCTGCAGTTCAAATCGTGCAAGACTGAGGAAACCTCACCACCATCTTCCCCTTTCTCATACTGCTGATCAGAACTAGTAGTTGTGTTCCCACAGTGGTGACCTGGGCATGCATACCTGCCGTGTCCCAACTGCCAAAAACGCTGATCCAGATTTTACATGCCTGCCCGTCTAAAAAGGCTACTTAAATGCCCTGGATGAAAAACATCCCCAACTCAAGAATTCAGGATTAGCATTCAAATGATCTTTCAGGAATTTTTTTTTTAAAAGCACGATTCAGATGTTTCATTGCTAGAATGACAATGACCAGCACTGGGGAAGGGGTTAGAAAAAGTGATGTCACTTAGGCAGTTCATTCTCCCTCTCCTGAGAGGTAGCCAAGTTCATACTCTAAACAGAGCTACTGCAAAGGGTTCCAGTTCTAGTGCTTAGATTCCAGTTCCATCACTGTTTTCACACTGTCAGCTTCACTGCTTTAAGCATCTTAATCTATAAAATGGACACAGGAAGCAGACAACAGCCTTGTCTCTTAGTGTAACAGAGGAATCCTTTACTAACAAAAATCAGAGCTACATATACTATTTCTAGCTATTCCACCCCCCTTTTCCCCCCTCCCCTAGAGCTTTAAACAACAGTAAAATTATCTTCAACTAGTTCACAGCTAGTACAGCATTTTGATCTTTCTGGAAGGAAAGAGCCATTGCATGGTTCTCTGGCTCACAGGTGAAAAAAAATCCCAAGAGCATAAATTAAGGAATGGGAATAAAGATGAATTCCATTACTCAGTCTAAAAAAGAATAAGAATCCATTATGGTCAAGAAGGCAGAGTGCTCTGTGACACAGGTGACATCAAGATGAATAAAACTGTCCCTGTCCTTGAGGAGCTTACAATTTAGTACAAGCACAAAAACTGTAATAAAAAACAGAACAAGGGAAGAAGTACAAGAAGTACAAAGTTCTCTAGGAGCTGAATCCTACCAATCATTTCACTTCAATTTCATGCTAACAGACTAAAACACCCAGGTAAGGGACACTTGTTGTCCTAACCTGATCAAGAGAAGCTCTGCATGAAACAACTCCAGTTGAGAGGTATGGAAACGGATGCTACAGTGATACATTACAAGCTTACCCACACATTGGCTAAACCAGGCTTACCTGAAGATGGATTGAAGAATTATACCAGAAATACTTATATAAGATTACAGAGAAGGTGGAAACTGTAGAAGATAAGTCCCCACCAACTGATGTTGACTTAGGTCTGTGGCAAACAAAAACAAAAACAAAAACAAAACAAAAAAACCCACAACAACAACTAAGCAAAACCCAGACCAAGACTGGGACTGGGGATTTTCACTTCTAAAGGTTTCTCTCTTCCATCACTCACCCCCAGAATATCCCTGCTCTTCTGCACCTCACCTGGATAGGGAGGGGAATTCTCTCCAAACGTACGCCACAGTCTAGCAATAACCACTTTGTAAGGGCGCACAGTACTTAAGAGTTGATAAGGTTCTTTTTCACCCATCAGCTTACTAAGACCTGAATCAAGAGACTAGGGATCCAGCCCCAGTCCGCCCTTTACTCTGTATGACCTCGGACTCGTCCTCCAAGTGCTTATTACTTCCTTTCCCTATTGCACATTCTGGGATTATGAGGAGACTGGGATTGAATTCGATGACTTCTGAGGTCTAAAAGCTTCCTGACCAACCGGCACAGAGAAACACTGGAGAAACAGCCCGTTTAATACATAGGGACGTCGGCCACAGGGGACAAGCGAGAGGGACGACAGGTCCGTTTTATAGACGGGGAAAGTGAGGCACCGAGCACCCAGCCCCAAGGTCACTCTAGCTATGTCACTGTAGGGGCCCGGCCGAAAGCTCAGCCTCCAGACTGCCAGTCCTGGGCCCTTTCTCCTTTCGCAGAGCGGAGAAGAGTGGCGTGGAGGGTCCTTGTCCCCAGGGAGAAAGGACTGTGCCCATGCCAGGGGTGGGGGACCGACCGTGAGTGCTTACCTTCCAGATCGAGTTTCGCCACCGGCACCTCCCTCTTAGAACCTTAACCCGTCACCACCCCCGCGACTCTTCCGAAGCCCCCTCCACTTCTGCCGGGCTCGACGTGTCCACGACCGCCACCGAGGCCGCTGATTCCCGCCCCTGCCCCGCCCCCTGCCTCGTCGGCCAATCCGTGTGCAGGATTTCGGAGCTCCCGCGGATTTCACCGCCTCTGCAGGCTGGTGAAGCCTTACGTCACGGGCGCGCGTGCCCGTGAGGACCTCCCATTTGCCTTTCCCCCTCCTTCTCCGGAGCCTAGACCCCTCCCCGCTGAGCCACCGTGCGAGAGTTCGTCCTGCCGGAAAGCAGCACGCTGCCGCGGCATTTCACGACGTCGGCGGTAAAAGGCCCGAAAACATTCTTGCTTCCCATCTACGGCTGGGCGAAAGGCACCGCGATGTTCGGTGCGGGAGACGAAGACGACACCGACTTTCTCTCTCCTAGCGGAGGGTGAGTGACTGGGAAGCGTAGGACAGAGGGCGTAATGAGAGAACTGGGCAAATGGTTGGTGGGGTCGCAGTCTTATCAGACTTTTTCCCAACTTCCGGGTCCAGACCCCTGCCACATTCCGGTGCTCTACAGGTTTCAAAATCCGGGCAGAGTTCGAATCTGTGCCGTGTCTGTCCACCTCGATTCTGGACCTGGCATGTCCCTTGTCACTCAGTATGGCCCTGGGGTTCGCCTTTTGCTTTGTGGGTCAGTTTCTCCTTCTGTGAAAGTGGAGGTGATTACTGATGACAGCATCTGCCTCAGAGTTTTTATAGTAGTAAGTTGGGACCGATATGAGACTTACTCTTCCCCGTGGACAAAGCAGTGACACTTCAGAATTGGCCCTTGTGGGTCAGCTCCAGCATCCTTCAAGGCCCAGTCCGATGTCACCTTTTGGGGCTTTCCCTTATCTCACAGACCCAGGCAGAATGCATTGCTTTCTCTTCCTTATTCCCACAGCTAGGCTGATTACCTCTATCCTTGCAACACCGAATTTATTAGATTATGAACCCTGACGGAACAGAGAACCGCTTTTGCTGTTCATCTGTGTCTAGCTCTCAGCACAGTATGTCATGTGTGCTCCAGAAGTGCCTGTTGAATGAATGATAGCTGCGGAATTGCACTTCAAAGCTTAAAACCAATGTAAGAGACTGCAGTCGCTATCCCCTGCCCCCAGTCGTTATATATACCAGCCTGGGGTGCAAGACTTCAGGAGGCAGGGTCTTGTCTTTTCCCATAATCAGTTTAGCCTTTTCCCTCATGTTGTGTCAGTAGACAGCTTGACTCCTTTGAAAGTGAGCTGCCAATCCTGATCCTTGCAGAGTCCTTTCTTTGAACACATGTTTAAGAGATTTAAGAATGTACAGAAGAACGATAAATACACCAGCCTACACTCCTCATCTTACTGCTAAGAGGTTACAAAAATGATTAAGCTACTGTGCCTGTTCTCAAGCCGCTTCTGTTGGAGAGTTCAGTACAAGAATGATCATAAAATGACATTGTTTCTCTCTTGGTGTTGAATAGGATCTTTTGACTTGCACTATGACTGGCTGTATATTACCTACCCTTAAGTCCTTTTTTCACCCTTATCACCCTGTCCACCCCTGCTCTCACTTCAGATGGTCTATGTCCACTGAGTTCTGCTTTGGGTTCTTTCAGTTGCTCAGTTATTTTAGAGTTAAGTTATGCTTTTTCTCCTTTTACCTCGTTGGACCCAAAACACTCACTAAAATTTCCACATAGTCCAGCCTGCTGCTGTTGACTGTGTAGTCACATTTTTGATTTAGGCTTAATTCACCTATTAAAAAAAATTTAATGAGCTAACAAATAGATTCAAGTGAAAAATAAAGAGATGAACCCAATTTAAAATGAGCAAAAGATCTGAATAGGTATTTCTCCAGAGAAGATGTACAAATTGTCAGTAAGTACATAAGAAGATGCTCAACATCATTAGTTATTAGGGAAATTCAAATAAACGCCAAAGAGATTCCATCTCACACCCACTAGAATGGCTGTTATCAAAAAGACAGTAATGGAGGTGCCTTGGTGGCTCAGTGGATTAAGCCTCTGCCTTCAGCTCAGGTCATGATCCCAGGGTCCTGGGATCAAGCCCCGAATCAGGCTCTCTGCTCAGCAGGGAGCCTGCTTCTCCCTCTCTCTCTGCCTGCCTCTCTGCCTACTTGTGATCTCTGTCAAATAAATAAATAAAGTATTTTTTTAAAAAAAGACAGTAATGTGCTGGTAAGGATATAGAGAAATCAGAACCAAATACAGGCAGAACTCACTGTATGATGGTGAGTTACTGCAAATATGGCCATGCAAGCTGAAACTACAGAGCAAGCTTAACAATCAATGGGAAAAATTATAATTGTTTCATGGTCTTTAAAAATTTTGGTTGAAACAAACTGTTGCCACCTTGAGAGTTAGTATTTTATTTCTGTTTTTAAAAACAGCAAGAGGGGTGCCTGGGTGGCTCAGTCAGTTAAGCACCTACCTTCAGCTCACGTCCTGATCTCTAGGTCCTGGAATCGAGCCCTTTGTTAGGCTTCCTGCTCAGGAGGAAGTCTGTTTCTCCCTCTACCTCTGCACCCCTGCCCCGGCTCCAGTGTACACGTGGTCTCTCTCTCTCTCTCTAATAATAAAAATAAAATCTTTTAAAAAAAAACTATCAAGGGAAGAAGTCAAGAGTGCTTGCCTTCTCTTTTTACAACTTATAATACCGAGTGAGCATTTACGTATACTTTGGCAAATACGCCAAGGTGTAGAAGAGTGAGCATTTGTTCTATACCTTGCTGCCACGCAGGCGCCCCTATAAGAGATACTGTAAATTCACATTCTTCCCTAGGTGAAAATACTGAGAGAAGTCTGTAAATGAATGTGAAAGCTCCCAACTTTTTTTTTTTTTTTAAGATTTTATTTATTTATTTGACAGATATCACAAATAGGCAGAAAGGCAGGCGGGGGTGGGGGAGCAGGCTCCCCGCTGAGCAGAGAACCTGACGTGGGACTCGACCCCAGGACCCCGGGATCATGACCTGAGCCGAAGGCAGAGCCCTTAACTCACTGAGCCACCCAGGTGCCCCAAAGCTCCCAACTTTTATGCAACAAGCAGTCTGCAACTGACTGAAAATGACAGAGTAGATAACACTGTCATGTATTCTTTTCTAGATTCCTGGCCCGAGATAGTTCTTGGTGGCTCAGCTATCCTGCTTTTCTGAGCAGGCCCATCAAGGACATGAGACATTTTAGTTCTAGGTGTTTAACTGTGTTCCTAGGATGCCTGGGTTGCTCAGTTCGTTAAGCGCCTGCATTTGGCTCAGGTCATGATCCCAGAGTCCTGGATCAAGTTCCACATTGGGCTCCCTGCTCTCCAGGGAGTCTGCTTCTACCTCTGCCCCTCCCCCCACTTGTGTTCTCTCTCTCTCTCTCTCTCTCTCTCTCTGTTTCTCAAATAAATAAAATCTTTCTTCAAAACTGTGCTCCTAAACACCGTAGCTAATTGAATGATAGAAGGCTTAGTAAACAAAGTTGTACAGATCACTTATTTTTGTTCCCAGTAATAACCAGAGAAACCAAATCAAATTTAAGATTGAGAATATTGAAAGTTTTACCAACCGTCCCTGATTCAGCTATTCCTTCTTTGTTTTTTCCTGAGGAAGTAGAACATATGACAGTAAGTATTGCAGCTGCTTTCAACTTCCTCTTATAACTGTAGTTTGCTGTAAATATGCTTGCTTATTAATTTTCAAGTGTTTTGATTCCATTTAGGATATTCAAGCCTGGTAGAAGTGGGAATATTAGTGCCTGAGATGGCTGTTGAGATGATTGGTAATCTGTGTTCCAAGTTTCCAGGCCTTTTCAAATCCATGTTTACCCTTCCAGATGCTCTTTTCCTACCATCATGACTTTGAAGTGAAGAAATAACGTGAATGTCCACTAAATGTATGGCACTTCATTTCAGCTAATAGCATTTTATAGTTGCAGGTCAATTGTGCATTGATTGATCATGCTTTCTCCCTTACAGGAGTAATCTGAGTTCAAGGGACATTTCAAGGTAATAGGATATGTGCACATGTATATAAAACGTGTATTGTGTCCTTACTCTGTGCCAGGTACCATGCCAGATAATAAATACATATTATCATATTTACTTTTCCCTACTAGTTTATTAGGTAGTTTTTACTATCATACCCATTTTGTACATGGGAAATTAAGAGTCAGAGAGGTAAGTGGTTCAGGGTCACACAGCTAAAAAGTGAAAAAGCCTGGATTTGAAATCAGGCAAGCAGATTTCCACTACATTGCCATGTGTCCATTATTATTATTGTAGAAGTAGATGTTTGATGCCATAGTTTATAAAGAAATACTCTAACAGCAGAAAGAATGCCTGTTTTTAAAAATACATGAATATAGTATAACTTATATGTTTTACCTTTTTTTTTTTTTTTAAGATTATTTATTTTACAGAGAGAAAGAGAGCACAGACAGGGGGAGTGGCAGGGAGAGGGAGAAGCAGGCTTCCTACTGAACGGGGAACCTGACCTGGGGTTTGATCCCAGGATGCTGGGATCATGACCTGAGCCAAAGGCAGACGCCTAACTGACTGAGCCACCCAGGTGCCCCTGTGTTACCATTTTTGATGAGAAAAGAAAAGGAGTATAAATCTAAGGTTAGGTAAAGACTTTGGCAACTAAATGTATTGGCTAACATTTTTTTTTTTAATGAATTAATGCCATAATGACTTTTCCTGTGAATTATAAACATAGAGACTCAAGTCCAGAGTTGGCAAGCCCATTCTTGGTAACACAGAGAAATGTGTGCATTTGAGAATACTTTAGAAATGGAAAAAATAATAATTTACAAGAAACTTATGCCTGTAAATCTATAGAGTTCATTTAAAAATATTAATAGAAAATATCCTGGAGGGTACCTGGGTGACAGAGTCAGCTAAGCATCTGCTTTCAGCTCAGGTGCTGAGTCCCACCTCAGACTCCCTGCTCAGTGGGCTCAGTGGGACTCCCTGCTTCTCCTTCTCCCTTTGCCCACTCCCTTTTCATGCACACCCACATGTGTGTGCGCTCTCTCTCTCTCTCTCTCAAAAATAAATAAATAAATA